CGTCCTGGACGTTCTCGATCGTTCACGACGCCAACATCAGGAGTGGTTTGAAGAAAACGACGAAGAAATCCACCATCTCTTCGCCAAGATAAATCGCTACACGAGCTTGCGAAAAACGTGAAACAGACGGCAAAAGAGTAGCCTCATTTAAATGTCATCGTTTGGTACAGCGAGAGATGCAGGACACCTGGACGGACAGCAAGGCCCAAGAAATCCAAGGGTACGCGGGGCAAAGCGAAACAAGGAACGTCTTCGTCGCTATCAAAGCATTCTACGGCACATGAACAAAAGGAACCCCGCCGCTACTCAACTCCGAAGAAACAACACTTCTAGTGGAGAAATCGCAGATTCTGAAGCGTTGGTCATAGCACTTCCGAACAGTCGTCTACCGTCCATCCATAATCTCCGACGTCGGCATCGACCGATTCCTTCAAGTAAAAACAAAAAATGACCTGGAGTTCCTGTCTACCTTCCCAGAAACAATCAGACCCGTAGACCAACTGTCCAGCTGGAAAGCACCGGCATCTGAGGAGATTTCGGTTGAAGTCTACAGACATGGCAGCTCCGGCTGATAGACAAACTCATATCGGAGATGTAGAGGAAAGAACAAGTCCCTCAGGACTTCAAGGACACGACCAACGCTCTTTTCAGGAAGCGGGAAGGAAATCGGCAAATCTGCGGCAATCACTAAAGTATTTCCTTCCTCAGCATTGAGGGAAAAGTATTCGTCCGCGTCCTAGTCAATCGCCTGAACATCCACTTGAAAAAGGACTTCTTCTGGAAAGCCAGTGTGGAGAAGGAACTGAGGAAGACACTTCTTACTTATGTGAGAGGTGCCTACGCTGTGTGATGTTGGAGGTGTTCAGGTGTGGATCAGGTATTGATGGAGGGAAAGGTGGTGATGCGAGGTAGTCTATGGTTAGTTGCGGCAAATTTTCATGCTGCAGGGGGCATGCGACCGAGTAGGCCCACATGGTGGCTGAATGTTCGAGCGCAATATGGACAGTTGAGACGATGGTGTCTTGTGAATGTAGTGCTGCAGGCACCGTGGAAAACCATGATGATGTTCGACAGTCCTTAGAGATTTGCGCTCATGGTTAGCCAGCCCCATTACAGGATAATGACTCTCATCACGGACGGCAGGGCAGTCCCAGAAGCATTCGAAATGACCAGTTAGGTGAAGCAAGGCTGCGTATTTCCTCCCAAACTCTTCAGCCTCATGTTCCCAAACATGCTGCCGGACGCCTATCGTGAGGAGATCCCCGGGATCTGTACCATCCACAGGACCAACAGTCATCTTCTCGGTAGCCGGTGCATGGAAATCCCAGCGCGTTTATCCACGACTTCTGTGAAAAGCCTGCTCTTTGCAGCCGACGGTGCGTTTAACGTCGTGACAGAATTGGATACGCAACGGAACATGAATCCCTTGGCCTGCGGTTGAGCAAACTTTGGGCTGACCATCAGCACGGACAAAACGGTGGTCATGCACCAATCAGCGTCAGAGGAGGAACACACCACGCCCTTTATCATCGGGAATGAAACACGATTCGCATCCATGGACAGGTTTGCCTATCTAGGCAGCACCATATTAAACAAAACCAAGATAGACGACAAAGCGGCCAACTGGGTTATCAAAGCCCGTCAGATTTTCGGTCGTCTTCAGGCCTTCGCTCGGAACCGCCACGAACTACAGCTAAACACGGAATTCAAGATGTACAGGGTGGTAGTCCTGTCAAGATTATTATACGGGACGGGGACATGGACCGTATACGTCAATCAAGCCAGGAAACTCAATCATTTCCCCCTCAGCTGTCTTCAGCGAATACTAAAGCTGAGATAGCAGAGCAAGGATGCGGACATGGAAAGTCGAGGGACGAACCGAAATCCCCAGCATCTACGCCATGCTGTGGCAATTGCAAGGGAGAGGCCACCTTGTGAAATTGCATGACGAGCGGTTATCCAAGCGATTCTTTTACGAGGACACTATTACGGGTGCTCCCGAGAACAACAACAACAGCGATGCTACAAAGACAGGATGAGGACCTACCTTAAAGATTTAAAAATCGATCCGGCGACATGGATGGATATCCTTCAAGGCCCACAGACCTGGAGAGAAGTAGTGAAGACCGGAACAGCAGTCTAAGGGAGCTGTCAAAGAACGACTCGCAAGTCTCAAGCTCCTCCGAATAACAACGCTAACACCAAAGCCCTTTCAAAATACCCATGCTGCCCACGAACATTCCATGAACGGATCGACTTCGTCAAGCATATCCGGACCTAATGCAAAAACGCGACGGCTCCACCTACTGTCTCCGCAAAAGCCTCAACCGTTACTTCCTCCCCAAGTCCCTCGACGTCAACCACTATCACCGCCACCGGTACTCGCATTTCCGAAGTCCCTTCAACCAGAGACAGCTTGACCATCGTTCCCGACGATATCTACCGTATGCTGCACAGCAAAGTGGGAGCAGACACGAGGACTTGTGTGTGAATTACTTTGTAGCAGCTGTAGACTCACAACATCTACCGCACTCTCCCCTTCCCCGCCTGAGCGCGGTGTCAAGACATAGTTAAGAAGACCGAAGGCGGGAGAGGGCGCAGGTGGCTGGCACAGCCGGACCAGAAACCACGTGTACCACCACACCCCCTGTTCCATAACAAACACTTGACCATCACCAACCGCATAATTAGCAACGTGGACTCGATTTCAACCTATTGTAAGATAAATTTGGCCTCAACCCTTGCCCAATCGTCAGCCTCTACACTGAAATAGATTTCAGGTGTCCCTGAAAACCACAGATTCCATGATTAGAAGTAGCAAGCTATTCATAGAAGCTGAGGTGGCCAAGACTATTAGGGTACGCAAGACCCAACTTTATGCTTACCCCCAACAGTAGTTTCTGCGGTCATGCCTTGCCCTTTTTCAGAGTTCGCATAGTATTGGTGTCCAGTGATCGCACTACTACATTGGGGCGTTCCGTTTTGCCTTACAGGCCCTGTCCGATACGCTCGCAGGCTGTCCAACAATGAGAGAATATAAAAATCTAGAAATAGCGCCATTAATGACGACGACGGCGGCCAGAGTGGCCGCTTCTGAATTGGTTCCCATCCTCAGCCAGTCATGGTTCAACCTGAGATCAGGACTGAAAATCAAACTAACGTCTAACTGGAAAGACGTTAGCAACAAAGAGGATAGAGATTGGAGTGACGAGTTCTGGCCTATTTTTTTGAGGCTGCCAGCCATGCCCCTCTCCCCGACCGGCCTGGGAGTTTAACACAGTATGTTCTCCTCCACGACTAAATTGGCAAAGTGGCACTTCCAGGTGACATTGCGCATTCCATGTAAGACGCGTGCCGGAGCGCAGCTAGCAAGCGGCGAATTCGCGAACATGTACTCCGCGGTTTACAAAAAAAAACACGTCGACACAATTGCATGAAGCAAGGTTTAAGTATATGCCCCGGGGCAAGAAAATGCCAACTGTTATTAAGCAAATTCACCGGCGTTTTAACACTCCTGCTTTACTGGCGGACGTACGCATTCCATCTTCCATTACGCCGAGTATTTTTCTTCTACCTGACTGCTCGCCGCGCCGAACTTTCTTTTAAATTGAGCCTCCCTCGTACTAGAGAATTACGTGTGGGGCGAGCAGAACAACTAAACAATGAAGACATCTCAGCGGCATCGATTCCTCTGGGCGGTACAGGTCAGCGAGGGTCGAATTCGTCAGCATTGCAATATCACGGACTTAAAATCTAGCAGCACTTCCTGAGGCATATAGTTCAGTACGGAAGTGGAAAATAAGCGAACGGTACTCTCGACGAACTCACCCCCTAAAAATGTTATCGCATAAAGCTTTGTATTCAGGAAGGGGGTAGACACGTAGCATAGAGCTTCCGCGACCAATATTCAGCCAGCCGCCAAGGCAGTTGTATATGGGCGCTTTATCGGTGCTTCCGAAGGTACTGATGCCGACAGGAAGCCATTTTTACTGAATTGTAATACCTTTGGCGGGGAACCAGAGGTGAACGGCCACCTGGGACAACAGTCTCGCTGGGCAAATGCGAAACAGATCAGAACCAGAATGGAAGGCGCCTTCGTAAGTAGATTTATCGGAAGCGGTCAGCTGCCTCACACCGCTCGGAACCGGGATTTTCCGCACAGTCAACCATCCAGAGCCGAGTGATGGACTTAGAAGACGTGCTGGGCTGGTTTTTCGGGTACAGCGCAGTTGCGGGCAAGGCAGCCCAGTAGGACAAGCAGATTTCTCCGAGCTTGGATGGTCGAACACGCATCAGGAGGGGTGAGACGCTCACAAGTTGCGGCCGCGCCCCAAAGATCGCAGCTTCCGCGAAAGGTTACAACCGGGAAGACCACGAGTTTCTTGAGCCGTGGTTCACCAGGCCGCAGTTTGTCGACAAACACAACGACCTCTTCCTACCTATATACGCACTTGGTTCTCGCTGTGAAAATAACTAGTCAGGTAGGGAGTGCTTCTTCCGATGACAGCCCAGGTAGGCAGACTGGCGAGCAATTGGCACGTCAACAAAACATGTCTAAGATGTGGGCGACTGCATAATTCATTTGCCGAACAGGGGCACATATAATGAACGCAATTATCTACTGCTGTCTTTGATAGTAAGCTCGAGAGCGGAATCAAAGCAACGGGCTAATAAAGGCCTCGCTCCACAAGGGCACAGAACCTTCCCTACTGCTACTATCGGCACGATCATTGCCGCAGTCCCCTACTACCATTACCACTGTTGCAACCACTCATATTACAGTACATATTATTCAGACGCGTCGCAAGGACAGCGGCCTCATTGAATCCCAAACAGTGTTGTGCGTAATACAACCAGGATGGATTTCAATATTCTTTTGTTATAAATATAAAATAAAACGATCTATAGGACGATATGTACACGCACACACACGAATCAGAGACAGAAGGGGGGGGGGAGATTGGGACGGCGTGTCAGAATGGATACCGATCAGACAGGAGCTAGTGCTCGTCCACAATGTGCTGCATGATGACATTGCGTTCATAGCTTGTGAAGGCACAGATTGGGCAGACGATCTGGGGTCCTCGGGGAAGGGCGCGGTTGCCTACAGTGGGTGAGATGACTGGCGAGTTAAATGAAGTCTGAGACCACGAGTGCGGCGGTGGTAGCGACCGTGGTGAAGCGAGGCGAAATCCTGATGGCTGCACTGTTGGAAACCAAGCAGGCCGTTTCAGAGCCTCCTGCAGAGCGTGCGTCGGTGCAGTTGACTCCGAAGCTCGAGAAATGGGGCCGATGGCTGGAGAGGATGTTACAACGACGGTGACGGGAAAGGAGGGGGTGACCGATGACGTTGATGGTGTCGACAGGGAGGCGGCGGAACTCAATCCTGGCGGCAGCGGCACGGTGCGAAGTATGCGCACAGCGGTGGAAGTCGAAGACTGCTTTAAAAACGAGTGTGGGAGTGTAAAACGGCTGAAGCTAAGTCAACATTCGGAGTAATTCCATAAGTTCAGTGTGAAGTTATCTATTCGATAAAAACTAAAACTAAAAGACCCTCAGAAAACCTAACAAAAAGACAGTGTCATCAGTGAGGTACATATGCGGGATATGTAGCGTCGCCTGGCCAGGTAGGTGTGAGCAAAAGCCAAAGATACCCACAAAAAATCATACCTGGGGGCACAGTTAGAAGGAAGAAACAAATAGACGAGGTGTGGCGCGAGCTACGATTACATGTTAAAGTGCAGTTTTTCGACATGTACAGTGAGTGACCGATCTCATGAAATGTTGGTCGAAATTCCGAAATGCCTTTTCGATTAGGAAGGATTACTTAGGTAGGGTTGTAATACTGATTACCTTGCGACATAATTCTATAGTATTTCGGACTCGGCAGGATGTATGCTTTTAAATGCACGTCCACTCAATCTCCTGTAGAAAGCGTGCTCGTCCAAAAGAAACTACTTAAGTAGTATGCATTTTTCACATCCATTTTCGACGGTCTTATAAATTCAAATATATTTCATAAAAACATGAACAAAAGTATCTCTTCTTTCATTCGTTTGATAGAGAATCATGGCATCTTCATATTTTATGCTCGAAGAGGGAGTATAATTGGGTTTTGAAAAAGTTTTCTAATTCCCGAACGGCCATCGCACTAGCGCCTAGTGATTTCGGCCTACAAGGTGCATGCGTTCCGCATAAGGGAAATCACATATTCTTCTATGCCTTTAAAAAGATGCCATGTTGAGTCCATAAAATTTTGTAATGGATGCGGACTATGTTGTAAATTTCATGAGGAGCAGTGGTAGACGGACAGGTGCTACACTGTATGACTAGAAATGGCACGGTCTAAAGAAAGCTCATAATTAGAAACTTTTTTAAAACCTAATTACAGCCCTTCTTCGAGCATGAAATATAAAGGCGACGTGGTTCTCTATTAAACGACTGAAAGAAGAAATATTTTTGTTCATGATTTCTATAAAATATATTTGAATTTATAAGACCGTCGAAAATGGATGTGAAAAATGCATGCTATTTAAATAGTCCTTTTTTACCGAGCACGATTTCTGCAGGAGATTGAAAAGGCGTGCATTTAAAAGCCGACATCCTGCCGAGTCCGAAAAACTATAGGATTATGCCGCAAGATAATCAGTATCCCAACCCTACCTAAGTAATCCTTCCTAATCGAAAAGGCACTTCAGAATTTTGGCTAACATTTCATAAGATCGGTCGCTCACTGTAGGACCCGAACCTACGCATATTTAATCAGTGCACCTCCTCAAACGACATTGATGTTCTTTCCTCATCTGTCCTTTTCATGATATCATTTTCTACCCTTTCATTGATCGAGGAAGGGGATGCACTCAAATCGACAAGGGTATGGTAGGTACCCTCAGAGAAAACTGTAGTTAACCAGAACCCTAACGCTAACTGTGGCTAAACCTGCAATGGGTAACCCTAACCCTTAACCCTCTTTGGGGAGAACTCAAACGTAACCGTGATCTTAACTCAAGCCTTTAAACCCCAACCCTAGTCCCAACTCCTAACCTCAATCCCAACTCTAGCCTTAAAACAATAACTCTACACCTCAATTCTAGCCTCAACCCCAAATGCAGACCATAACTCAAGCCTGACAACCCTAGGCCTGAGAATAACCAAACTCCTAACACTAACTCTAACCGTAGCCCTAATCGTATTCGTGAGCCCGATACAGGCAACTTTAATGTCAATAACGCTAATGAAGGTCAAAATTCACAAGCTGCATAATCCCTACCACGACCGGTTGCCAGACAAACCGTCACGAACCACACCTACCCAGATTAGTGGGTAACTTTTTGAACAACCATCTAGGGGACTGCATACCCTACCCTCGCCTTTTCAAAGCCAATAATAACTCACAGCATTGTCCACTAAGTTCTGTTGCTGCCTCTTTGCAGCCTCGATGAAGGATGCGAATTCGGAAGACGAGGTATTCGATGGCGGCTGTCCCAACCGCGGAGCGTTCGCAGATGACCCAACCTGTCAGAAGAATACGATGAAATAGTTCAATATTTTCTATGCGCAGCGGTGCGCCATTAATGAAATATAAATCGAAGGCGAACGCCTACCAGACGATATATTGGAGGCATGGTCGCGTCAGCCGTACTCGTCTATAAGACATAAAAGCATCATTAAATATTATCAATAAAACAATGCCTGCTTATAACGTTTGAGTAGACTTTTGTGATCAACCAAACAAAAATTACAGCCGTAGACTGAGAAGATGACGAAGGAGGAAGGCGAGGGCGGAGGGCGAACACGACCGGCTTAGGGGCTATTGGCGGAAGAGGTGTGAGTGGATTATTTGGGAAGGGCTGGGCTCTAGCCGGCGGGAGCGGTACTTGAAGGAAGAAACGGTGACGGCCTCTCAGTGAGGACAATGGTTGCGGAGCGCATTGGCTGCTTGCAACACTATTATCGGAATTAGACGCAGGCCGAGGGCGGAAGGGCTGTGAAGTTGGAGGCGCGGTCTTTGTGCGGGTCAGATCGAGGAGATTAGAAGGTCTGAGGAATAAAAGAAAAACTTCTGCATCTGATGTCATCCGCGATGAACAAATATTGTTGGATAATGTCTACGAGAATACAGTCAAGAGCAGTTGGTATTAAGAAGGGATCAGGACTCTAGGGGAGAAAACGCTTAGAGGTCTCGAACTCTCCCTCATAAAGCAGTAGAGTTGTTCAGTGCAATTCCTATCCCCGGGCAAAGGATACAGGGACCAATACGGAAAAGAAGCTGGAAAAGTCGGCAAAAATATATAGTCGGACATAACCGCTTCAGGCATTTTCTGGAGCCGTACATAGACTGGGCTGTACTAGCAGTGAACAAGGGAAATAGCGACTCAATAAAAATATTCACGTTCTTTTCAACACTAGGTGTCTACATCGGTTAAGGGTCTTGAGAGAATGACAGTCGCAAACGAACCCATAGGTGCATTACATTACTTTTACATCTTGTCATGAAACCAGAAAACATTAATAATGCAGCCGTTGACCTAACCCATGAAACATGACTGGGGAAATCAAAACAACCAATTATGGGCGACGGTTTCCGCAATATCTTTGTATTTATTTGACCACTCTGTTGTGCATGAACAATCTTAGAACGGAGCCTGAGAGTAAACATACAGCGAAGAGGGTCACAATATAAAAAGGAAAATGAGTTCATTCATTTGCAAAAGAATTATCAATAAGTTTCAAGGAAGTGGAAAAGCCGATCGAATGTCCCAATTTTTACCTAGAGCTTAAAAAAGGCAAAGTGCGCAGGCATTGGCCAGTGATTTGTCTAATTAAGGCGTTTTTTAAAAAGGTAACTTGGAAGAGAAAGTTTTTTAAATTGATCTAAGGCATATTCGCTGCCAACTTCCGTTGTGGTCGGAGGGATCGTACCTGACAATCCTATTCAAAACTATTAGTCACTGACAGGTCCGTCAATATGTGACCTTGTGACGTCCCCATCGGCGAAATTAAAAACCTGTTCGCCTTAATCAATCACATCTCAAACAATGCAAAACGGAAAAAATACGGCCAGTTCCCGTGAAACCGAGCTTGAATCTCTACTCAAACTGTAGGTTGTTGGCTACAAGTACATTACAAGTATTCGTGACAAATGTCAGTGCACATTTCACTAAATAACTATTTCTGGACATCATTTTACTTGTGTTGTTTTATTTACTCGGGCTTTCCCATGAACAGGTTTTCGGTTAATCAAAAACCTAAGTTTCCGGAATCTTCCGCTTTTCTAAAAAAGGTTAGTATTTCTAAACAATGTAGCATGAATTTCAATAGTTCTTTTATGTTTTCAATGTGCAAAAAGTTGCTCATTACTAATTCAAAGCCTTGGGGCAAGTTGTTAGTGCTGGTTCGTAATTGATTAGCATTCCTTCATAAATTTCGGGGGCCTTTCATGAGATAGGTCGCATACTGTAAGCTCTTCAGTGATGTGTCAATTGCGGAAAATGAAAAAATATGTTAATTGACAAGAAGTGCATGAAGTAAATACTAACTGAACATAATAAGAACACTTGATGGACGGTAGGTTCCTGTAGGCGTAGACGGACGTTACCGGTTGAAGTCAGCGACGGGAAAACTAAATATAAAGTCAGCAAGCTTCGTTGTATGGACAAGTCTGCGATTGTGTTCTATACCTACTGAAGTCATCCCCTCGCGCCCGGTGGAAAAACATTTAAAGAAATCGACCAACGGTTCATAGCCCTGAGTGCGTACTGAAAACGCATGACTTACGTTCTAAAGGTCTCCTCAAGGACCTTCCTGAGTATAAGCGGCTCAGATGGTGCTGGTGGGACGTTACGCCCAGTCTCCTGACTCGATACCAAACAAGGCTGCATGTAGCCCGTCAGGGCGGAAATGGCGCGAGTGTAGCGAAGGGAGAAGGAAGATGCCAGCGGGGAGACATCGGTGACGGGTAGGAGGTGGTTGGCCAATTGGGTGGGCAAACTGAACCTGGCTTCGGGGTTGGGGCAGAGGAGGTAGACGGCCATGCTGTGCGCATTAATGGCCCGGGCCGGGTCCGAGGAGAGTTGTTGTAGAATGACGGCCCTCCTAGCGCTTTCGTCCTCTGCCTGTGCCACTTGACAAACCAGGTGGCGTTGGTTGCGGTCGGTAGTATCGCCACAGTTCCAGCACCGGACCGAGACACAGGCATCGGAGGAATGGAAGTTCTGAATCCCATGATTCCTGTTTAGCGGTGAAAGGCAGGGGAAACAAAGAAGCAAAATGAGAGGGTCTGGGGTCCTCTGAGGGAGGCCTGCTTCGATTATGCTGGGACAGCCACTACTCTCTAACTCAAAGGAAGACAGCACATGTGAACTATTATACATCTGCACACAGACGATCAACAGACTCAAGGGGTTACTGAAATGAGGTTTCCTGGAAGGGGTGCAACATTGTAGGCCCGTTTTAAATGACGACCTCATTGGTAGTCGCTTGTCCATCTGCCTGGCCTCCTACGGCATGCGGACTCAAGCATATGGCGGAAATAATTATGAACTATTTTGACACCGATCTAGAAGTGCCGTTTGGCATTTAAGTCGCAATCTACGTAGGAAGCAAAACATTTATATTTTGCATGAAACATCAAAAACAACAATGGCTTTTAGTTACTCCCAACGACGTCTTAAACACAGGCCTGTTGGCTGTGTAGATGGCATTGGCGCAAAGGTACACGGCGTAGCAGTGCTGACGCTTTCAACAGAAAACCCGGTTTCGCTCTACAGTCAAAACCAAAGGAAACTGCCAAAGGAGGTAGTCACTGAAGTTCTCAGTTCGCAAAGCAGCTCACAGAATGCCTGGATTCACCCAGCCACACCATAGTGACTGGATCAACGACAGTACCCTGTAATTGTCTGCCCAGACAGCTTGAGTAAGGTCCCGCAACGATGACACAAAAAGTAACGACTCGGTTAGAGAAGAAAATAGCTGAACTGACGATGCGACTCCTGTGGAGTATGTCTCGATCGTCGGTGACACTCGAAACCATCTGCTAACTCAGTTGTAATTCACCTGCATGGAGGGACTCTGTTCGCGGCGCCGGCAGCCTAACTGCCGGTGGCTCGCGAACGCACCTTCAGCGTCTTCTGAAATTCGATGGTAATGCAATTACTATTCCATTCTCCTCAATAGTGCAGTTCTATCTTCCTCCATTCCATGTCCCCTCGTGTGACCCGCCCTACCGTGAATAAGTCACCCACGTAATAATGAGACCGTGCAGCAAGGCACCCAGGGAGGAAAGTAACTCCACAGAGGTCTATAAACCTCGTGCCGACCTCCTGTCACCCAGACTAAGCACACATAGGGAGATAAGATCGTCCATCCTTATACGTATCCTCAATAAGGGATAAAAGACATCAGTCGCATAAATGTTTTTGTAAAGATTGTTTAATACCGTCATTCTCGGGCGGTTTCAATGCGTGCGTGACTCTAGGACGATGTCCAACCAAGCTTGGGCTTCGGACTCGACGCGGATGCTCTGACCAAACACTCACATTATGATGCATTCTCAAACTCAATCATAGATATCAGCAACTGATTGTAGTCTGCTTTCTTACGTTAGCTACAGGGTTCGATTCCGTTTGTCGTGACTTCCTGCGCAAGATAGTGGAGAAGGGAGGCGTTCCGACAAAAAACCGCTATGACAGGGGCCTGTTATCGTTCCACCGCCGCTCGATTTCTAATGTGACGATCTCTCCCGATTGTTCGATATTTGTTCTGAAGGTCGACAAGGCCCTGTCGCATATCCTCTTAAGCTACTTGATTGACTGGATCTTTTGGAGGCTTCTACGCGATCCTGACGAAGTCGAATTTGCCCAAGGACGCTGGCTGACCGGTCTAGATTACGTTGACAATACCACTCTGAGAACGAACCCTAGAAGAACGTACACTGACACACTGACTCCGTCAAAACGAGACAGCTTGCACTAGGAGCGAAGTCGATAGGATGCCTCGAATCATTCAGAAAAGGGAGCAGATGGTTCGAGTGAGTTTTCCTCCGTCCTCCCAGGATACAATACAGCTGCTCTGAATTCGATGTCATCTTCCCACGGACGGCGGCGATGGGCTCAATGCAAAACTTGGCTCGACAATGTTAGTCGGGACATGAAGGTGGTTCTTGGACTTTCGGTTTTCGTTGTCAAGGAAAGGACTAGACTGCCCAGTCCGCTGTCACTGATGGTCGCGCGTGGCGAAGCACCAATGCCATCAGTTAGATCAGGCAGGACGAAAGTCGTATCAAGAAGTAAGGGTTGCGGAATAAACTTCAATAGCAACAAGGGAGAATGAGAGGTCTGTTTATGGCTAATTGGCCGACAGCAGTTCTTCAACCCCAAGCCCGAGTCAACGCATGATGACCAGAGAATCTAGATTCGAATCCCCGGTCGTTTAAACCTGGGGTTGGGATATTATTGACTGTGCACAGTTAATAAACCCTGAATGGTCGTCTTAATATACATTGCCTTTGTCGGTATCCATTCTACATTGTCACTGGTCGCCATATGATTAACAGCGAAGGCTCTAGGAAGAGATCCAAGGCATGACGTGGCAAACATGTTTTGTAATGCAGCTAGGGCGGTGAACGACTCTCAGGCACTAAGGAGAGGTTTTCTTCTATAGCTGGCTAGGTTCTGTTTTTCAATGTTAGTAGCTTTCATGGACAAACGAGTGTAAGGCCTACACTTTACAAATATTTCGTCCTCGAGGATGGGCTTAACTAAAAACGTGAAAGACCGAATGAGTGATGATTGTACATATAAACATATATATATTTTTCAGAACTTATTCAGTACAGGGCATGGAGTTAGGTCTCCGGAACATGAAATTTTTAGGGTCAGACCCGAAATTTTAACGAACATTTGACTCGAAGACAATCAACTACTGTGGAATAACTACGTAATGTCCATTCTACAAACAAGTGGTACTACGTGTAGTAGTAACTGTACATGGCAAACGTGCTATACCGTACTCCCGACAGAGGAACTAACTAAAAGCCCAGACACGTGTTTCGCCGACATTCTGCCTCTGCGTGGGGTTCGGCTCTTCAGTGGGTCCCCCAGCGTTCCCTATGCGATTTCTGGTATATGACCTCCAGAGAAGAATCAAGCGACTAATTTCAGAAATTATTCAGTACTGGGGGACTAAAAAGCCGAACCCCTCGCAGCCGTGTCACGCAGCGGCAGAATGTCGGCGAAACACGTATTCGGGCCTTTAGTTAATGCCTATGTCGGGAGTACGGTATAATACGTTTGCCACATATAGGTATATGTATATATATTCGCATATGTTAAGCCAGTAAAAGACATACTTCGACATGTGTGCCTGAATGCCATGCGCAGCGGCAAAATACATGGAGCAGACGGGGCATGAATATTTCACGGAGGCAGCACCACCGCAACGCAGGAGTTTGCGTGACACAATCCGGTGGGTGCGTGCCACGTCGACTGGCGCGGAGAATGGGGGAGCCTGCGAGGACTGGTTCAGGCTTACCAACAACCAGTGACCATGCTCCAGATGGTGACTTAGTGAGAAAAAAGAGTCCGCCACGAAGGGACAGCCGCAACGCACGCAGGTGGACTCATGGGCTACCCCCAAGTGCTTTGGACGCCAAGCGAGGTGACGCACCTCTGGCGTGGACAGACAGAAAGCGAGTGTGCGCAGGACTTTGTCTTCTCTGACTCGCGGGAAAGTGTCGTGGTAATCTTGTATCTTGGGGTTGTTGTCCGCATCGCTGGGGTCTTTGTGTTGTCCCATCTTCGTTCTAAGTCCTGCCAACTTCCGATATGGGGTGCGATGGGAGGTAGTCTCGGAGTGTGCACGAAATTGTTCACCAACGAGGCTCCGACCTTCAAAAACCGAAATATGGAACGAGCAAGCGTGCTTAACATGAAGGAATGGGCAGCAGTGCATGTCAAAATCTTGTAGTATTCTAGTTTTATGTCCCTTGGCAGATTGAACGGTGGGAGTATATAACTGACCGGAAGAGAAGACTACTATTCAAACTCCTTTGCCACAAGCCACTGTCGCACCAGGCGACGACGAATTATCCAAGTGATATATTCTAAACGCCGGATAAATCTAACAACCCCAGAACTTTAACGAAATAGAGATAAGAAATGAAAGAACAAGGATTTCGGCATAGAAGAAATAGACATTCGGATGCTAGAAACAAATGCAAAGTAGGAACCGAAAGGTATTGCATTAGTGAATAAAATATAAAATCCGCGAAGCATTTGGTCATGCAGACACAGATATCTACTTGGGTTACTTAAACCTTGGCTAATTTTAACCAACAGAGGTGACCTACAAGTTTGACAAACCTGCATTCTGTAATTTCGAATGGCCACAAAGTGGCGTTTTTCCCCTACCAGGCTTCGTATACATCCCTCCGCGTGTGTCATTGTTGCATGCGTTAGCGCTATAATCTTCATATCCAACAAGGATTTAATTATTACATACCTTCGTGATTAGGGGAGTGGTTTCTAGAGAGGTGTACGGTCAGTCACAACAGATGAGAGGAACTTGGCGCAAAAAGGAAGGGAAAGGATGAGGAATATCGAGAGTAGTAGAGACGATGAGAGAAATAAACGACACTGTAAGGTACCTATTGATGCGAGGAAACGGCAAGAGGGTCGAATGACGGGCGGCCGGCGTGAATCTACGTCCACGTCCATGGTATCATCCTCAAGGGCGGAATCTGATGAGACGAGGGGTCGTCGCGGGATGATTTTACGCAAGACAAGATTAAAAGAGTGCAAAAATGGGTAGGGTATGTCCAGGACGGGGCGAAGACTGGTTGGAGGGTCCGAACCGAGGAGTCTGTGCAAATCCTCTATAGGGAAAATTGGTCCTGGTGGTACAGAAGGGGCATGTGGCACCTCAGTTGGAGAAGTGTTAGAATAGCCGGCTTTGGGAAGGAACGGGGTCGAGCTAGGGGCAATGCTTTCACCAGTAAACGCAAACTGCGAGTGGGCCATCTTTGTGGGCGGCTCAAGCGGCTCAACAACGCCAGAAGTTGCAGTCGTCGATCTTGCGTGTCTTCGTTTCCTTTTAAGGGGTTGCTGAACCGTCGGCGAGACTAGAATAAGAGGTGACCAAGCATCGCGAGAAGATTTTAGAGGTTGGGTAGAAGTTGATGCCGTCGAAATACACCATTCTAGGGCCGGTGCATGCGGTGCCAACTCTGCTACCTCCACCGGGGCTAACATCGTAACAGTCTCCAGGGCCTCCTGTATGAAAACGGTTGCCGCGTGAATTACTGTGGACGTCTCAACAACTACTTTCGGATGCTCCACAGGTGGGTAGGAGACGGTGGTGGGGAGTGGACATGTCTCCTCCATTGGTAGTCGGTCTTCATGTACAGTATTAACGAGTATGAGCGGCCTGTCAAAGTCCTCGGGGGCAGGATGGAAGCGTTTTGGGGCGATCGGCAGGAAGGACATGGGCGCAGTGGTGGCTTTGTCGGTAGTCAAGCGCCGAGTAGGAGGGAAAATTGGGGTCGTTGGTTCTTTCGCCGGCAGTCGTGTTATCTTCTGTATTCGTTTGATGGGCTGCACAAGGCAGAGACAAATAAAGATGCAAGATTAGAACATTTTTCGAGAAACACAATGTGCCTCCCCAGACCCACCCTCTTATTTACTCCTTTTTGGGCCAAACGAACGGCCGCAGACTGAACGACGAACTCCCTTCTTGCGCGAGATACATGGACTTCGGTACCCCGGTACGCTTCATAATGGACGCACTGATTCGAACAAAAGGGTGGTTCTGGGTGAGATCACTTGAGAGCAAATGGCGAGTATCAGACATGAAAATGTCATGGTTATCGAGGCATGCACTTCCCTTTTGACGTTTTATTAACTGTTTGAGAGTAAAAAATCTATAAACCAGGAAGCTTTTGTCGCGGAACGGAGTCGAACTCCGGACCTCCTTAACATCAGCTGAGTTCTCCGCCGCCAGGGCTACCAGAGCGCCGCCACTAGTTATAAGGAAATAAATATGTGCAAAGAGACGTCCAATGTAGCTTAGGCAGAATTGAGGAAAACCACCGGGAAGCTCAGGTTGTAAAGCGCTCGACCACACCTTAAGGGGCGGCCGTCTGATTTCGTCTTAGGACAAACACTTCCTGGTTTATGAAGTTTCACTCACCAAACAGCCCGCAAAACATTTAAAAGGAAATTTGGACCAAAGTAATTGTGCCTGTTATCGGAGGCACAGAAGGGTGGCGGAGAGGCTTTTAGGACGACCGGATATGTGCATTAGGAAATAGATGAACAGGTGAAGGAACTACATTTCGGATGAAACTACCTGTCCGGCTGGCGGAGCTGATTTTTTTCCACGGATACACAAGTGTTAGAAGATCGTACTGAAACGTGTGCTGAGCACTATGGAGGTAGTGCGACACCCGAAACTGTGTGCAAAAGCCTAGCTCACTCAGTTCCAGGAGGCTATGGAGCATGGCATCAGCAAAAAAGGACAAGTGAAAGTGCCTCCAAGGAACAGACGGGACGAACACTGCAGATTGCCAAGAGTGTCCTACAAGATTCGGACCAGAATACAAGACCTCCAATGGTAGAGGGGACGCTCACCGATCGTGTTACGGTCACTAGGGAGGGCTGGTCACAAAATAAGCAGGCGCTCACGTTTGACGAAAAACAGTCGAGAACTGTCAGGCGTAAATGAGCACCAGTCTGACAAATAGAATACTCGAAAACCCTCCACATTACTAAATTGGTTCTATCCGCCACCTAGCACAATCCGGGAGCCTGAAACTGATGAACCTGTGGGGTGTGTGGTTCAGCAACGCCCATATATTCACGGCTTAAGCGGAATATTGTTCGGGTCCGAGTTGGACCCGTGGAGTAAATGTCGGACCAACAACAGCAACAGCCTATTCGTACATAAGCCTTAGATCTTATGGATAAAGATTCAGTTCTGGTGAATTTCTAATAATACATTAGGCACTCCGCGCCCTTCGAGGCAACTGAAATGAGCTTAAATGAGCAAATACTGGAAAACAACTGTGATTGAACAGGGATTTATGTCCAGTGATGGTACAGACATATTATCGATCGAGTCAATGTTGTTTCGATAGATTTATCAGAAAAGTAGGGTGGGGGCAGAAGTGACTTCTGTCGAGACTACTTTTACAAGCATATTCCAGTTCCACCGTCGCGAACAATGACGTCTACTGTGTGTCGCACGTAGTTAGCGCAAGACGGTGACCTACACGGAACCTGCTGCAAACTCTCCTCTCTCACCAACCTAGCTCCGATGGTAAGACAATGCCTAGACAACTGAGGGCGGGCTCCGACGCATTGACTGACAAAGTTAAACAATCCGTCTGCAGGTGCTACACACGACCTGGTCCCCGAAACAATGTACCAGGCTTTTACATAAAAATAACCTCGGAACCGGCATCAGTGAGAGGGCTATAATGGCCACACTAAGGGGCCATTGATTTTTCAGAGGGGCCGAGTTATGCCGTCAGCGGCCTTCAAAGACAATTTTTAGTTCGCCATGATAAATTTAAGCGTTTCAGATGTATATTAGTGCGGAATGCGCTGACAAGACGTGTCGACCTCACGCTCTTCCTCCCACACGCACTTGTTGACTGTCCAAGCCTGTCAATCAGGTGCACTGAGATTGGGAGCAGTGGCTCACTTGACATGAGGCCTACGTCTAGGCGCGCCACTGTACTCCTCCGATGTACGGAAGCAGTTGTGGGTTCGCCCGCACCCCGTTTTGATCCAGCACAGACCGTTGTGGGGGTCAAAAAGCATATAATACATGGCTCGTACGCTTAAGTATCGCCTACTTGCAACTGTCAGGCAGATTATACCTCTACTCCATTCCATGGATTACGTTATCCGATTCAGTCTTTAAAATCAAATGTAGCTGTGCCAAAGGCTAAAACAGAGGCACTGGATGCTTTTACCAGCAAAGTGCCTGGGTACGCGCAGCGGTGAATCCCAGGGTGCTAATATGAGGTTTTAGGAACAAACTTGTCATCAAGCTGCCGTTTTGACTGACAGGTGTTGAAAATCAAGTCAAAGTCATTAGTAGGTTTTCATTGCAGAAGTCGTCTTTCAACATATACAACGCATAGTGTTTAGCAAGTATTAACTAAGTTTGTTATGCTGGTAATAAGTTCAACCTTGTCAACGTAAATAAAGCACACCAAAAAATTACTGAGCGCAGTTGGCCGCATTGTGTAATTCACAGTTGGGGGCGAAAACAGACAGCCAGATTATATTCTTTGACGTCCTTGGGCACTTGTGAGCAAGTGCAGGACTGCAAACTATAGCGTCCAGAAAATCCATCCGAGCAAACACCGAAAAACAACAATAACAGCCCTGTCTCACAAGGGTCAATATGTCTATAAAATCGATAAGAGTTCGGACGGGCTGCAGCACACTAGCCGACAAGAGCCGACCGAATACACTTCTGCGACTTCCTCAAGTCCAAAAGACACTCGGGCACTGCACAAACAATGAAGTAGCTAGGAGTCGGAAGGACCACCAAAAGAAGCGGTCCACCGACGCTGTAACTCTTAAGGGCAGGTTTAGCCCATAGACCCCACGTTGTCAACCTTCTGAAACTAAAAAAAAACTGTCTACAACGAGTGTCGCAATAATGGCAGCTGCAAACAGTCCGGAAAGAGACGGATATGAACCGCACTAACTCGTGCGAGCATTTACTGACGTCGCGAAAACTGAACCGCAACCCTAAAACCGCAAAGCAAACTGAAAACTGACTACTACTTTGACTTTTGAGGTGCAACTATTAGAGGAGTTCAGTTCGAAGATTAAGACATGAATTTCCGATACAAGTTCAGTAGGCCGAGACATCGGTTCCCCTCAATATTACCTGCTCCCAGCCAATTACTACCGCAGACGACCCAGCTGTTGGTAACGTCAGCGTGTAGATAGATATCTTTATTTTCCCCCAAGCGTATGCCTCAGAATTCATAGTAGGCCGGGGCATCGTACCCGCACTCTGGTCTCTGAGCTAAACAAAGTGTGATTGCAGACAAAACAAAAACAGTCTTGGATAAAATAAAACACATGCATCAACTGACCAACTCATTAGTGTCCATACAAACACATGGGGTGGCCGGGAGAAAGGCATCGGCGGAGGGAACGGGTCCTGAGCAAGTAGGAACACGTACTGGTTGCGTGGTTGGGACGGGGGATGAAGGGAGAGTGACTGATGTGCGCAAGTTCGGAAGCCGCAGCTGTAACGAAATTAATTACTTGCAGTTTGATTATGGAAAGAGAGCTTCACAAGAGAAGAGGAATGGAGCGAGAAGAAGGACTTACTAAGTGGGCTGGACGGTCACAACCCGTCGGTGCCGACAGGTCAGGTGAGGAGGAAAGACGTGGAGCTGTGGGCGTATTCGTCGACAGGGGAATGCTATGGATGAGGGGTGTCTTGCTAATGAGGATGGTCGACCCGCGGGGCCAAACTTGAGCCGTACTAATAGGAGCGGACAGAATGACATTGTAGGGCAGTCGTATTGTTTCGGAGGTTGGGCGCGCCGTGGACGTAAAAATGGCAGGGGACCGGGTGTGGACAGAAGTCGAGGAGGACAATGACGTTGATTCTCTTTGTTGACAAGAACCAACAAAGGCATTCCAAACTAGTGGCCTCGGGGAGGGTGGCACCGAGACTGCACCAGACGAGGCGTGTCCTACGTCAGTGGTTGACACAACACTGGGACCAGGACAGGTATTTATGAGCACAGGAGTCCCGCGACCGATTATTGGAGGCCCCTGATGAATTGTCTGGTGGGACTGGTTATAAAAAGGTCGAGTAATGAGCAGACCCACAGGTCTGGGCGTTCCTTGCCTTAGTGCGGCGATCTGTGGGATGGGAGTTGCGGCATGACTGGCGCACAGGGGACCAGTATGAACGCCAGTACGTGAGAGCATGGAGGACGGCTGCAACATCGGTGTTTCAGCCGAAATGGATTGAGTCTGCCCCTTCCGAAAGCGAATAGAGAAAAACACCTTAGGGTACAACTCGTGTACACAGGCACGGTGATTATTTATAACAACTCCAAAATAGCCTGACCCAAAGACCTTACCTATCGTTTACACTGCAAAAACTTTCCGTTCGAGTGGAATCGCCGGGAGATAGTTTCAAAGTTGGTGAGCTTATGGTCAACCAAGTAATTAGCTGACACGCGTCAGTGTGCATCTACCACCATTAAATACAAACAGGAGGTAAAACGCGCACCCTTAGGATTAGGTGATCAGTCGTCATATTACGCTTACAATGAGCACGGGCGGGTGCTGCGTACAGTGTTAAGGACGCACAGTAAGGAGGCGCCACCTCCCCGATCTTTTTGGAGTTCCTCCCTGTTAACCTCTCAATGAAAAGTCGACGTAGAAATATCACCGACAACAGCAGCTACTACAGGTAAACAAGCACAAATTTGGGATTCCTAAAAAATTAGCAGTGTCTATGAGATGCGTTAGGCAAAACTCATGCACAAAAGTATTTCTTCGGGTAGAACTGGATAGCGTGCGATTACAACTGCAAATTGAACACACTTCAGACGTGGCTGCAAGGACAGGTGAGGTGGGAGATAGAATGAAAGCCATAACAGTTGCACCAGCGTAGCTCACGGCCATCAGCAAATCAATTGGCGAGTAAAAATAGTTTGTGCGTTAGTTAGAACAGCGCTCCAAACTCTAGACAACCACTTTATGCATTTTTAAAATCCCGGACCCTGCCAGCATTGGCAAAAGTTTTCTAAGCAAGTTTTTCTGTGACCCAGGTAACTAAATTACGTGCCTCTAAGCTTTTACGTTATTGTTGATACCGTTATGATTAGCTATCTCTATGCGTATTTGAACGTATGGATACGTTCAAGAGTGCTTAAGGACAGGTCAAGGAGTCATATAACCCTGATGGCATTCTAATCGCCCAGGACTAGCCCGGTCATGTACTAGTGTTGCGATTAACTGGATTTTTTTCAGCAGTCCTAGCGGACACCATCCACACGGGAACAGTAGGTTGACGCGCCTACTCGGGCGAGTTGATGGCGTTGTAGCCCGAGGCGATTTAAGTCGCCAGACAGAGGCCCAAATTCAAGACAAAGTGCGTGCATGCATCCTGTATGCGTGCGTACGCGCAAAGGGATCCTCCAGGCGTGACGCGCGAGATGTACTCGGGTGAGCATCGAGGAGAGGGTCTAGCAGAAAAGCTCCTTTCCTCGCAGAGATCGAGCACTGTCAGATAGTCAGGTTAATAGCCCTGCACTAGCCCGCAATTCAAACGGGCCAGCAGATGTCTAGTC